CTCTCGCACACACACACACACACACACACACACGCACACGCACACACACACACACATGAATCCCGAAGTCTCTGTTGAACTAATCAAGGGTTAATTTTATGATACTTTGTACAAGTTCTTTTATCAATGAAGATGATCAACAGCACATTAAGAAATGCCTTGCCTTAAAGCACTAGTACCTCCGCCGGTGTTGGGAAAATAGGGAAACTGGTAGTTTTCACAAACTACGAAGAGAAATCGGAGGACGGGCCAGACGACGGCTGCCATTGATAAATCTCATCGGCGGCCGTCGTTTTGTCTCGACCTCCTATAAGGTCGGGAGGCCCACCCGAGGCCCGCTATTTTCTTACTTGGCAAAGGTACTAGCGGCTTAAACGACCAGTACTTCCTAGAGTCGTGCCCGTTAACGCGCCACAATTTTAGGAAACGTACGGGCTACTACAGGAGCGCCCAAATTCATCCAACTAGAAACGTTTCTACTCTATTTTTTTCCGCGTCCAATAGCTGGGCCAAGTACTGGTGATTTAAGAAATGTTGTGCCTTGCGTGCATTGAAGTGACAGTGCTACACCCCTTGGAGTAGAAGGAGCCATGGCCATTCTTTTTGCCCCTTAGAGTAGAAGGAGCCATGGCCTTTTTCTTAACACAAGAAATGTGTTGGGGGTAAATGAAAGGGGGGAGTGTGCCAGCTGGCCTAGCTAAGTTGGCACACCAATGGCCTGTTAAAATGCAGACCGAAGTTCGATTCCAGCTGCAATCAAATGAGCAGAACAAAATAATTCTGATAGATCTGGGGCCTGACAAGTTTGGAGGAAGTCTTCCGACGGTGGCCAGAAAAAAAAAAAAGAGAGAATGGCTCAGAAAAGGGCAGGAGTATTTTGCAAACTTCGACTAGAACTTTGACGCTCCTTGTTGGTCCATTGTTTTGTTGTCGTTCACTTAAAAAGTTTAACTTTCGGCACTGCTTGTTGGTTCGATTGTCGTCCTTCGCTTTGTATTGTCGTCCTTCTCTTTGTAATGACTTTGGGGGCTGCACATCCTCTGCAGATTAAGAAGGTGAAAGGCACGGTGATACACGAGTGCACTGAATCAGTTCTCGACGGCGGAGAACGGTGTGTAGATATCTGTTACAGCTCCCCATTGGACCGTGGAGTCTTCGGCACCGTCGTCGATATGAAGTTGAGCATCATGGGAGCGCAGCCTCCTTCGAGGATACCAGGTCAGAATGTGTCAGAGGCATCAGATGCATCAGAATGCGTCAGATCCGACGGACAAATCACTCAATTGCTTTTTTTCTGTCTTGAAAGTCGAAAGTTGAAGTCAATTTCACCTGCTGGCATCCTGATGGGTAGAGGATATCTTTTCAATCTTTTGATCTCAAAAAAAAATCGAGCAAGATTGGAATTCTTCATTGTGGCTTTACGCTTGCTTCTCGATGGGCGGGCTATCTGTTAACTGCCATTTCGTTGTGAAACTAGTAAAAGTTAAAAAAAAAAGTTATAAAAAGTTATTGAAAACTGATTTTCTTTTTTTGGTTTAAGTCTTAAACCGCCAGTACTTGGCCCAGCTATCAGCGGCGGAAAAGAATAAGAGTAGAAGTGTTTCTACTCGGATGAATTTGGGCGCTCCTGTACTGTCCCGTATGTTTCCTAAAATTGTGGCTTGATAACGGGGCACAACTTTAGGAAGTACTGGCGGTTTAACGGAATTGAATTGATGTTGAAATTGGAAGGGTTTTGCTGTGTTTTTCCTTTTTTTTATATAAAAAAAAGGGACCATTTCTCGTGCAGAGGCCATGTGAATCTTATGTGTATCGTTCCCATTTTAACGATGTCCCGAAGATAATATTCGGGTAGGTGTCAGATAATATTCTGTTTATCTGGACTCTTCCCGTGGCATCTCCATATGGAATTCTGAGTCTTTTCTGACCCATTCCCTGAAATTCGGGCGAACTTACATCGTCTCCATGCAGTTGTGGACAAAATCCCAATTGAACCAGCAGTACCTCCTGAAAGTGCTCTGCGTTAACGGCCAGCCAAAAGTGGAAATCGCACTGTTTCGAGTTGGCTGAATCGGGCCTACCGGCCCAGGCCCGTTCATCCCAAAAGCCGTGCCCGTTAACGCGGAGCACTTTTAGGAGGTACTGGTGTTTTAACTTGATCGTAGGCGTTTTCAAAATCGAAGAACAGTATAGCAGCCTGCATTCGCTTTTCCGTTATCTTATTTGCTGCCTCGTTCAGGGTCGTCACATTGTCTAGTATGTATCTTCCCCGGATGAACCCTGCTTGGTCGATGTGAAAGCATTTATCAGTGAGTTTTATGATCCTGTTGGCTAGGGCTTTCGCGAGGATTTCATAGGGGGTTGTGAGTAGTGATATCGGTATGTAGTTCTTGAGGTCCTCTCCGTCACCTTTCTTGTGGAGTAGCGAGACCACACTGGTGCTTAGGAATAGGCCCAGACCACCCTTTGCCTTGCTGTCCTCGATAAAATTGAGGAGGTCGTTCCCCAATGTCGCCCTAAACCCTAAACCCAAAGATGATCGGGCATTCTATTCGGGTGAAGACGGTAAGTTCCATGTGTATGTGAACTATGCAGTCTTCATTGGTCTCAGCTCTCTCTCTCTCTCTCTCTCTCTCTCTCTCTCTCTCTCTCTCTCTCTCTCTCTCTCTCTCTCTCTCTCTCTCTNCTCTCTCTCTCTCTCTCTCTCTCTCTCTCTCTCTCTCTCTCTCTCTCTCTCTCTCTCTCGCGCGCGCGCTACCATTCTATAAGGATAGTGGATGGTTGGTGCAAGTTTGCTGTCCATGAACATGAGCTGGGCTCTTCCTTCTCACACTCGATAAGCGTCTGTTCGCAAAAGATCTGACGGTAGTGATTGTGTTTTTCCGTCGTTTGACAATCTTTGTTGATGGCATGGATTGAGCTCTGTAAGTATTTTTTTGAGAAATCGTCAGTTCTCTATCCGTATGTCACTTGTTTTTTTTCCACCTGCCTTTCCTTGTCATTCGGTTTTGTGTTTGATTGGTTGGTTGAACTTGGTTCCCTCGATCTTTGTCTTGATGTTGCTGTGCAGGTTTGTGGGACGAGAAACCGATGACACGGATGGTGTCGCGGATCGTCGTCAATTCTGTTGTGGAATCATGTACGGATGGGATTCCAGCTGTGTACGTTTTCCGATTCGAATGCTTAGAAAGTGACTGGCCTCACCGAAAGCCGCTGTCTAGTCGATGTCTGAGTACTTTGCATCTGCACTAGAGAGCTCTCTGGCATACTCAAGCAAGCGCAATAGCAGCACAGGTCTGAGCAGCATACTTGTTCGTCTAGCCCGAGCTTCGGCATTGCAGACCTTTTTCTTTTTTTTCTGTGTCACATGGATCGCATGTACTTTCTTAGAGCAGCATTCACTGTGTCGGCGGGTCAGACTTTGGAATCACACAGCTGCTGAGGAGCTCTGTCAACTTCAAGTCCATTGCCTATATTCGGAATACGGTCGCATATAGGATACTATTCATTGGCCATATTCTGAATATGGCCAATGAACATAAACTGCCATATTCCGAGTATGGGTAACGAATAAATCGCCATATACTTTATATGGCCGATTGTCTGCCAATGGCATAGGGCGCCGATCATGTGCAGCATGGGGCCGGTGTAGGAGTCGTTCACTTCTCGATCGAGATTCATCTAGTGTACGCGATGAGTCACGTCGCTTACATGGTGTGAATGTAGTCCGCTAGAATTTCCTCTCAGCAGCACAATTTGGTGCGAGGTTGTGCCGACGCTAGTGGGGAGCATGTGCTCTCACATTCTCAGGTGGCTCGACGGCTATGCCTTTTTTTCTGTGGCAGCTCATGGAGGTTGCTGGGTGAAGCGGAGCGGAGGGTAGAAAGCAGCACATTGATTACGCAGTAATGTAGTCCACTAGAATGTCCTCTATCCCCCTTCCTCCCCCTCCTCCTCTTCCTCCTCCTCCTCCTCCTACATGCAAATGCCAGAATTCCATGATAAGAAAGCAGGGCTGGGATGTAATAGGGTGATGTGTGCGGTTAGGGTGAGCAGTGTGTGTCCTTAGGGACATCCATCAAAATTGGAACGAGACAGAGAAGATTGGCATGCCCCCTGCGCATAAAAACAAAAAGAAGGGGATAAAAAAGAAAAAGAAGGGGGAAAAAAAAAGGGCGAGGAATGCGGCACAAGGGACATTCATTCAGGAGAACTCAGAATAATCCATCACATCAGAATGTCAGGAGCTGTGATTCATGGGGCCGCGCTTCCACTACACAACACTCTTCATGTATCTGGAGCTCATGATCGTCTCAATAGATTCAAAATGTTGGACTCTCGGAATGAACCTGGTCCACCAAGGCGTCCAAAAGCATGCACATGCATCACTCGCTTCTCAAGGGACATTCATTCAGGAAAATTCGGGAGATGCAGTGCATCACATCAGAACGTCAGGATCCCTGAGTCATGGGGCCTTGCTCCACTGCAGAACATTATACATGCATCTGGCTGGAGGTCATGATCGTCCCAATACATTCAGAATGTTGGGCTCCTCCGAATGCACCTGGTCCAGAAAGCATACAAAATATCACAAATGCATGTAGAATGTGGAGCGAGGGCCATGAGGTGGATTTGTGAGCGAGTTCAGATGGGTTAAAGGCTTTTTTTCCCTTTGTGTTTTGTACATGGCCACTGGGAGGAGGATTGAGCCCACTGTTTTAGACTATAGAGGAGATTCAGGAGAACAACAAGCCTGTCAAGCTGCCAAGCTGGTTCCTACCCCCTTGTGCTGCATTTCACCCCGAAAGGAGGAGGACTGGTGCAGAATGGGCAAAGTACGAGAGGATAGAATGCGCCGTAAGTCAGTCGACGGCTAACACGGCACGGTCTTTGGAATGAGAAACATTCTACATGCATTTGTAATGTCTTAGGAGCTCGTCCCAAAGCTGATTTGAGTCGCCTGCTTGCATCCGTGATGTTCGTTCTGTTGTTGCGTAAAGGTAGGTAGATGGAGCAGGATGAGAAACATGTGTGGGAGGTGATTTGCCTCGCCCGCTTGCATCCGTGATGTTCGTTCTGTTGTTCCGTAAAGGTAGGTAGGTAGATGGAGCAGGCAGCGTAAGTGGGGAAGCATCCATTCGTTGAGGAGCGGTTTAGACCTTCATGGCATAATCTGTGAACTGATAAACAAACATGTGGTCGTTATAGACTGCTAGCTATGGACTGGAAGGTGTACTTAATCCACCAGTTTTTGGCCCAGCTATCAGCTGGGGGGGGGGGGGGGGAGTAGAAACGTTTCTACTCTGGTGAATTTGGGCGCTCCTTTAGTGGTGGCCCTTGAGTTTCCTAAAACCGTGGCTTGTTAACGGGCACGACTTCAGGGAGTACTGGAAGGTACTTACTTAAAACCACCAGTACCTCCACGTTTCTCGGCTGTTAACGTGGTGGCGGAATCGGTGCGCCGCGCAGGTCCATATGCATTTGCCTCAGAGCGTCCCCAGAGGGGGCCTAAGACCCCCTGGGGTACTGGAAGGTGCTTAAGAAGAGAGGTTGGTACTCTCAACAAGGAGTTCCTTGTAGTGAGAAAGACGACTCCTCCAAACGGAAAACGCTTCTTACGCCGCTTACGGTCCCGTACACGTACACCCTCGAGGCCGGCAAAAAGATGACTAACCGCCTGCTCTGCGTCGATAGCGGACTAGACATTTAAATTTGTCAAAAATGTTCAGTCGTCGAGGACGGCTGCGAGTACGATCTTGCTTTTAGCTTTTAAAGATTTGTACAGGAGGACTTAGGAGGAAGTTCTAGATCTTTCGAGTCCATTGTAGAGGGTTTGGTCGTGGAGCGTCGGTCGTGGAGCGTCGGTCGTGGAGGGTCGTTTGTGGAGCATTTTGGTGGGTACACTGTCGGCCTGGAGAACGGAGTCCTCCACGTATGTACAGTTCAAGAAAGATTGACAGTGAGAGTGGATTGCTAGGCATTCAATAGATGGGCGGTCCTTCATGTTGGAAGACCCCCTCACCATGCACCTGCACCTGCACCAGTACTTTCAGGTTCAGGTTCAGGTTCAGGTTCAGTTTCCAGGTCTATGGCTTCCTTGTGCTTTTTCACCAAGCCCAGGCCCAGTTTCAGGTCCAGAACCAGGTCCAGGACCAGGTCCAGTCTTATGGCTTCCTTGTGCTTTTTTACGTAGCCCAGGCCTAGTTTCAGGTAAAGGTTCAGGTTCAGGTTCAGTTCCAGGTCTATGGCTTCCTTGTGCTTGTTCACCAAGCCCAGGCCCAGTTTCAGGTCTAGGTCCAGGTCCAGAACCAGGTCCAGGACCAGGTCCAAGGTGAGGTCTTATGGCTTCCTGGTGCGCTTTCACTACCTATGTACAGTGTAATAATAGCAACTGTCGTCTGCCGGCACAGTTGCCTCTTGGCAGATGTTGAGTGCCGTCCGTGCATTGCGCCCTGCACATTCATGGGGCAGAAAATGAGTTTTTGTCCGGTCAGTCAGTGGGAGTGAATTGTGATTGGCGGATCATTGGCCAGTATTGCTTGCTTGTCGGCTAGAATCTGCGTTTCCAATTTTCCACCAAGGGCTTCGGGCGAATTGTTGTGCTTTTTTTTAACACTAGAAACGAACACTTCATTTTTTTTTGAAGTACACATTTCTCTTTGATCCGTCTCCCGTGGCTGGCAGGATGACGGGCGGAGCAGTACTCGAGCTAGAAAGAAGATCGGGATGAAGTGGAATAGAAGGGTTGTGTTGTTCGTTCGTATTGTGGAATTTAGAATTTGACATTCTTTTGCGAGGAGGAAGAGGAAGAGGAAGAGGGTGAGTGTGTTTCCGTAAAAAAGAAATGAAATGAATTCCGCGAAAAAAGAAACGAATGTGGAGTTACGTTCTGAGGAATCTGAGCATCCGTCATCCATCTGGGGATCGTTGGCTCGACTTCGTCCGTCCGATCGTCCTCCGGATTGCTCATGAATGTGAACTTCCTCTGGCTTTGTGAAGAGCTCTCAAGTCAAGGAGGAGGAAAAGGGAGGAGAAGGGAGGAAAAGGGAGGAAGGGAGGATTCCATAAAGAGAGGTTCCAAGCCCACATTCCCCAAAGTTATGGGGATAGCCTACAGCACGAGTTATGGAAAGTGAAACATGGAGTGCACACATTCGTCTCCGGTGCGAGGTATGTAACGACTCTAACGAGTCCAGGTTCTCTGCATGGAGCAAGAGATTTCCGTCAGGTCTAGAGTGTTGGCTCATTCACCCAACCTCTCTGTGTGTATATGCGTGCATGCTTGTTTGTGAGATGGCAAGGGTGCGCGCGCGCATGAGAGAGAGAGAGAGAGAGAGAGAGAGAGAGAGAGAGAGAGAGAGAGAGAGAGAGAGATGCGGGAGGGGGAGAAGAGGGGCAGCAAGGTGCATGGAAGTCGTTGCGAAGCATCTTTTTTTTTTTTTTTTTTTTTTTTTTTTTGGTCCATGTCGTGGTAGAGGGTGGAGCATCGTTCTAATTGTGTCAATTCTTTTGTTTACACCTTTCTCAAAATGGGGGGGGGTGTTTTGAGGGGTGGCTGTGAGTTGCGCATAGCTGTCTGGTTTTCATTGCAGATTTCCAAATGGTTATGCTCGAATGGTGAACCAGATAGCAGAGACGAATTCCATTCTTCTTGGCATCGTGTACTTGTCTACTAAGTGAATAATACACAGAAAAATAGCCATGTTCGACGTTGTCCGTGCTCCCCCAAGTGTAGTTGTCTAAGTGAATAGGTACGCTTGTCACAATAGACAGAAAATTCAAAATAGCCATGTCTAAAGACTCTAAAGTGTATTGTGAATGTTTGCCTTTCCCCATCGAAGTGCTGGGATCTCAGCAGAGTCGGCATGCCCGTCCTCCCAAGAAACATGGCTCTATGAGTCTGTACATAGTACACAGAGCTCGCTCAGTGCCTTACGTGGTAATACGATTGGTTGGTTGCAACTTGGAATAAGAACTGACACATCAGGAGACGACTCCGATGGCATTAGCGCAATTACAATTTGATCCCCATGTCCAATGGCTGAACAATTAATCTTTGGTTTGTTATGATATGATCTGAGACAACAGGACAACCCTGATGCTTCAGGGGGGCAGTTCTGAATCTGGAGCATAGTGTGAACATAGTTAGTACTATGTAGGATATTGTTGGGACATAGTCAGTACTATGTTTGACCCTAAGTTCGATACAGTAGTCTTGCCGCTTGGGCAAACAGGGCATGCATATGCAGTGACCAACTTGTGCCATAAAAACAGAGAGAGAAAGAGAGAGAGAGAGAGAGAGAGAGAGAGAGAGAGAGAGAGAGAGAGAGAGAGAGAGAGAGANAGAGAGAGAGAGAGAGAGAGAGAGAGAGAGAGAGAGAGAGAGAGAGAGAGAGAGAGAGAGAGAGAGAGACGGACAGACAGACAGATGGATAGATGGACAGATAGACAAACAGAGAGGCAGAGTACTGTGTTTGACCCTGAGTTTGATACAGTCTTGCTGCTTGGCAAATGTGGGCTGCATATGCAGTGAGCAACTTGTGACATACAGAGAGAGAGAGAGAGAGAGAGAGAGATGGACAGATAGAGGACTAGGTTCTATCAGTCGATGGGACGCAGGTCTAAAAAGGAGCTCCGGATGTCCAAGGCTGGCTTGTAGAAGGTGACAAATTGGAAAAATCCTAGACAAACTCGTTAACACTCTCAATCACGTCCTCGCCTTTAGGAGGGGATGCTATGGTTCTTCACAGAATTTACAGATGTGAGGATGTGCTCAGGAGGGCATGAACCCATGTACCAAGCTACACTGAGTAAAACCATGCTTGCCTCTCTGAAGGAGAACCCATGTACCAAGCTACACCCAGTAAGACATGAGTAACGAATCTAACGATCGATTCTTAAGAGCCACCATTGTAAATCCATTCATCAATTGAAGTATGGCCCTGTTCGTCTATGAGAGTTAATCGTTCGGTCACAGCTCCCCGCGCTCTTTCCACGGCTGCTAACAACAATTTTTATTTTTATTTGTTGTATGATGACTCGCATTGATGAGGGCCTTGTGGTCTTGGCTTCCTGGTTTTTTTTTGGTTTTTTTTTTTTTTGGTTTTTTTTTTTTTGGTTTTTAAACTTTTTTAACATATTGGTCTTGGCTAAGATCAAGTGCAATGTATCTGTTCTGATCAGTTTAATATCTGATCCTAGTCGTCCATCGGACCACACGATATTAAATTACGAGGCTACCAGAGTGACCCGACCCCACTTGCCCGTGTACTCGCCATCATCTTTGTCACAATCACTACCACGAGATGGTTTCTGCATCCATGTGTGTACAGGATTGTCCCTCCGTTCCTGACTGCAGGCACCCTCCTCATCCGGACACTATATGTCCATTTTGTGGCCACGGACGCTATGCTGAATGCATTCTCTTTTGTGGGGGGCGTTCTTCCTTTAGTCTGGCCTGCAATAGACATGCTATTTGTGAGGAATGTATGGTTGGCATGCTTAATGCCAGCCGTCGTGGCAGTTGTTGTTTTGAGAATTCTCAGTTAGGTCTTCCATGCGCTCATCCACCCCATCCTTACAATGTGTGTCCTTTCTGTCGTCAAGGACAGCCTCATTCTTGAGCTTTTACTTGCCCTTTCCTTTGCCCTCTTCCTCATTCTACACTCCGCATTTTCCCTCTTCCATTCTGTGTTTGTCCTCTCTCTGTCTCTTTTCCCTGTGTTTAACACCTTCCCCTTCACTCTGCCTCTCTCACAGCGTGCAAGTGGGCTGTTATGGCATACGGGGATGGGGGCAGCTCGCGCTCAACTTCATC